TTGGTGTTTTGCTGAAGGAAGCTATTTGTTTTGTTGCCTTTGTTAGAAAATACAAGCTGTTTAATTTTATCACACACACTGTAAAGAGAGAAGCAGAGTTTCTGGACACTCAGAGCACTTCTACAGATAAAATGTTTACTTCATATCAGTGTTTGAATGGGGCACAGCTAAATATACATGCACATATATGTGTGTCAGAGGAGTTTACTCCCCTTGCTGCCTGCTCTGGTCACATGAGGCTGTATAAAAGTATATCTAAACTCAAGAACAAAAATGTAATAAAGTGAGCTTACTAGTCCTTAGATGTGGTGGCCACATATGTGTTAATTTTTCAGGAATTTTCCTTTGATTTCACCTGTGGATCCTGCAAATAATAAAAAAAAACTCACTGTCCTAGGGTGACAATGCTCATTTGGTGTGTCCCTAAGAAAGGAAGCATGTTAGTACTAGTGATGATAACTAGTACGGTTTGCTAGACATTAACTGAACACTTGAAATACATCTGCTAAACTTGATAAGTGGTGAAACCACATTGAAGTCTTTTTCAAAACCAGTTTGCAAGCTTTTACTAAAAAGGAGCATGTGTTGCTTGACACTGCTTTGAGCCGCATGTACTAATGCAAGACAATTTTTTAGAAAATACTGTTCAGCAGAGAGTGGGTCTTTTAATGTGGCTTTGAGAGGAACATTGAAAATACACAAATACTTTAAATAACATGCTTGAAGGATGCCTTGACATACCTTAAACCTGCACATGAAGTCATGCACCAGTTTTATAAACTCCTTTAAAAGAGGGCATGTAAGAAAAAAACTACTGGCACTAAATGACAGTTCAATGCAGACTTTCATTCTGTTTGTAAACAAAGTGGCTGGTGGTTCCAGGTGATGCCAGGACCAAATATGGACAAAAGAATATTTAGCCAACTACGTCACTCAGATTACCCTGGTGGTGGGTTGACATACAACAACTGGCAGAAAGCTATTATTTGTGATGGGATTAGTAGCAGCAAAATATTGTGCTGTCAGTAGGTCAGCAGGACTCGCTCATCATGATTGATGCTGGATCTAGATTGCTGGATAACGTGATTGATTTTGGATTTACATCATGGGACTTCATTTTGTAAGGACTTTATGCATGGTGTGTGTATTTTTATGAATAAGGAACAGGGGGAAATATGTATTCCTTATTCATGTAGTGGGAGGGTCAGATATTTGGGGGCTTCTTTATTCTGCAGTTCCCTCTGCAGATCCCCATAGGAACAGGATGTGGGGACGAGGCTCTTCTCCCCATCAACATGGGGACAAGTTGCCTTGTAAGGGGGCTTTGCTTTGCCCCACTGTGAGGTACCCCTCCAATGTTAAGGGCTTGTGGGCTGATATGGAGGATGGGTCACATGCACACTTGCCCCCCTTTTCCAGGACATCCAGGCTACATCCCTGGATAAGGGTCTAATATAAGTTTTGAGGGGGTCCCCTCTTTTTTTCCTTTTCCTCTTAAAGGGGCAGTATACATTGTTTACAAAAATGTTTACTGTCTTTAAAAAAATGCATGGAGGGGAATTTATCAAAACTGGAGCAGGCAAAATCTGGAGCAGATTTGCACTGTAACCAATCATCTTCTCTGTCTCATTTTCAAATCTCAACAGAGCAAACTGAAGGGAGATGCTGATTGGTTGCCATGGGCAACTGCTCCAGATTATTTTGCTCCAGTTTTGATAAATTCCCCCCATGGTATTTGTAACAGAACAAAGGGTAGAAAATACAAGACTTTAATTGTTAAGGTTTACATATACTTTAAGCTTTAGATAGAAACAATCTAAAGGCAAACAGCTTCTGAGTAGTGATGGGCAAATCTGAGTTTGTTTTGTAGTACTGTAAATCTGCTTCGAAGTTCAATGAACCCCAACTTGGCATCAAATCCCAACAAAGTCCATGGGAGGCTAATAGTCAGACTGTTCTCAAAAGTGCATAAAAAGCTGGGCATTGCCATTTGGTATATTAAACAAAGCAAAAAAAAAAAAAATACTGTACAGCAGGAAAGGGTCTTTTTGATGCATCTTCCAGAGTGACATGGGAAAAATACCAGTGCCCTGCTTGGGACATGCCTGTAAGCTATATGTAGTGTGATTTTCAAGGACAGCCCCAGCAACACATATTCTAGCTTCACATATTTTGAATGTGTAACCAATTTTGTATATTTTACATTTAACTTGTCTTGAATACAGCAGCAGCACCCTGATCTAATTCATTTCAACTTGGAAAAAACTGCCTTTTAGGTAGTTTTGTATGTGACAACTGATTTCTTTTTTTTTAACCAGTGCTAATAGTCCTAAATTGACCAGTGAAAGTAACAGCCATAACAGGTCTAAAATGTATAGGAAGATTTCCTCAAAAAATTAATTAAGCTAAAGCTTTATCTCAATTGGCCAATGCCACAATTTATTAGTAAGGTTTTGAGTTTATTTTTTGCAGTACCACGCAGCATTGACTTAGTTTAATAAAATGTCAAAACAGAGATTGAATAAACACTTCAAAACCACAATCCTACATTATCTGAACCCCTTGCCATCTTCACATCCCAATTATTCCACAGAATTCAAATATAGACTTCAGGTATATGTTTGGTAGGATTTAGCCAAGACAGTCTAGATAGTATGTCAGCACTTCAATAATCGGCAAAAATAACAAGAGAAGGTGTATTTTCTGAGAGACAATAGCCACAAATATTTTTCAGTGGTTGGAGAGCATGTAAACAGCTTGGCTAGGTCTGTCACATATATACTAGGGCCAATTTAGCTTGCGTTCACACCTAAATGTGAGAGTAGAGTAGCCCGGTATTCTACAAAGCTTTTTTGTGCATTTGCACATGTGTTTTTATCTGCTACTTGTAGTAGAGAAGCAGAATTAAGCATTTTCGAGCTCATAGACTTTTAAATGGAAGTGCCAGAAAAAATCTTGCATAAACACGCATTTTTCAAGCATTTCCATTAAAGTCTATGGGGCCAAAATGCTTAAGTCTGCATAAAAAAAAGCTCATGTACATTTGGAGTGACTAGCATTTTGCTACAGGTGCTTGAGTGCTCAGGCGTAAGCAGGCACTATAAAAGAAGATACATTTTTAATTAATTTTAATTTTTAATGCTGAGTATTTTGTAGCTTTGAGCTACACAATGCTCATATGTGGATGGGGCCTTAAACAATATCTTGAAATAAAAATTAGTGAATGAATATTTTTGAGTGCCGGAATAGGCTATAAACTCTGAAGCGTAGCGCAAGATTTACGCTGCAGCAAACATTGGAAATCTTGCAGCTGTGGTTCACCTGCAGAAACACTGTGTGGCACCTCCTATAATGCTGGAGCACCAAAAGAGAGCACAAACACAGTTGCGCAATGCAGGATTAACCCAGTAGGAAACAGAGTGGGGGGAATTTATCAAAACTGGAGCAGACAAAATCTGGAGCAGATTTGAACATGGCAACCAATCAGCTTCTTGGTCTAATTTTCAAATCTTACCTGAACAAACTGACGAGAGATGTTGATTGGTTACCATGGGCAACTGTCCAGATTCTGTATGCTCTAGTTTTGAAAAATTCCCCCCAGTGTATTTTCTGAGAGACAACAGACACATATTTTGTTCAATAGCTGGACAGTAGGTAATCAGTTTGATTAGGCTACAGTTAAGAGGGAGAGATGAGGATTTAGCTGGAAATAAACAATATTAAACCATATTTTAGAGTGCAGTCAAGCTGTGGAAAGATTGTGTGACACCTTTATCTCAGAGCATGTAAATAGGTCACAAACTCTGAGGTGCAATACTCTGTTTATCAACGAGTAAACAGAAATCTTTCAGCTGCAGTAAGATTGTATGGCACCTTTAAAATGATGGAACACAAGAATAGGCCAGAGGAGGTGGCAAGAGCTGGTAATGGTGGGGTGGCAGGTATCTTTTTGGGGGCTATGTGACTCTCAAATGTGTTTCTGTAGCATCAGCAGAAGGAATTATGTACTCACTAGTAATCCAAGACTGATTAAGTTTAATGAAGATTAGCCAGCCCACACTGCCATCTGACAGGCAGATTTACCTCTCTGCTGCACTGAAGGCCCTCTCAAACAGCACACTGACTGCAGGGAAAGCCAGCTCCAGTGCATACTGTGTAAGCTGTGGCCAGTGGTCCAGTTTAGACACCCAATAGCACATGGAATCCCAACTTCTGAGTGTGTCTGCATCAGCTCTGGCCCCAATTTAGTCAACCATCATGTGATTCAGGCACTACATGTGAGTGTTGCCTAAAACCACTGTGGTTTAAGAAAAAACTTAAGAAAAAACTTTCAAAAAAGGTGCTGAGGCAGTCATAGCTCCATCTCGCATGGTGGCAGGAGATTGGCTATTTTACCTGTGTCCTTTGCACAGGCATTTGCATAAAAGGCCCAATTCACCAAAAATGATATGCAGCAGAGAATCTTAATTCCCCACAAAGGACAAAACTGTGCTCAATAATCTCCCTACCCCCTGTAAAACACCCAGGATTTGGAAACCATGAAATATGACTCTTTTCTCTTCCTGATGCCAGCATCCAAACCCTCTTCCTCATATTCCTCCTTGTCATACTGCTGCCAGTGCCCAGTGTTTCAGACCATGTAGTGATGCTCCAGAGGGACACAAGAAGGATCATATCACTAATCCCTTATGCATAACGGCCTAGCAAATTGGTCACCTTTTCAAAAGGTGCCAAAATGCTGCATATGTCCTGAATAATGAGACATTGACAAGATGAAAAACATCCTAGCTCCCCTGAGCCTGTCCTTTACCATAATAGCACGGGTACTAAATGATGACACACTGCTGCAGATGCAGCGTGGCTAGCAAGGAGTATTATCTCATGAGGCTGTCACAGGGGAGGTAGTTGGCAGGCAGTTGATTCTGACAATGCATTTCTGCTAGGTAAGCTGTGTCTGGGTATGACTGCCTAAAGTGGCCACAAACCCTACTGATCTGACAATGGAGATCCCAGAAGTCAGCATGTTTCATGATGAACCATCACATGACCAGGTTGAGGATATGTGCCAGACAAGATACTGTGCATGTGTACATTTTTTCAGGCTAAGGGAGGCTATCATGTACCTGAGGCTGAGACTGGAAGATGGGGAGGCGTCTCTTGTGATTCGTGTCCTGCGACCCCTGGAGTTGGGAACAGAAGGGCGCAGGGCAACAAGGAGCACGAGTGCCGTAGACTGGAAACAGACACTGTGCAGGAACAACTGAGTAGAGAGGTCAGTAAGCCAAGGTCAAATTCGGTCGGGCAGGCGAAGTACAAATTCGGAAGGCAATCTCAAATCCAGGGAACAGGCCAGGGTCAGGGGCTGGCAGCAAGCAAAAGAGTAGTCCAGGGCAATCCAAGTCAAGGCAGGTCTAAGTAGCGAACACAGGAAACAACCACCAAGCTGACAAGACCATCAGCAATGAAAGAGAGGCTGGCTCCTCCTTATATAGTCATAGGACTAAGGACAGCTACCTCACTTCCTGTGCGCTTTCCCGCGCCTTTTTCCGCGATTCTCGAGCATGCGCAGTTTGCCGCGATTCGTGCCTTTACAGAGGCCAGTAGGTTAGTGTTACACATGACCTTGTCTGGCTGATGATGGGTCCTTTAAAATTCAATCTGGCGAATTTCACCACAATTTCTTTGGAACCATGAACCTTGACCCCCCCCACCCCCCAAGATTCACCAAGAACAGACCATGCAGCGGATCAGAACCTCATCCCTGCTTCATATATGCTCTTTTTGTAAAAACTCTTAATGCTGTGACACCCAAGTCATGATAGAACCCAGCCCTCCACACTTGTCATTTGCTGTGCTTCTATCTTTGCAGTCTTACTGGCAGTGATGCAAAGTAGCACAATCACCGGGGGGGAGAAAGTCATTGCAATGTGTCATATTATGTTAAGATCTTGATCAGTGCAGTTCAGGATTTCTACTACATTAGATGCTAGGGAGAATAGCCAGTTAAAGTTGATTTACTGTTTCTTCCATAACACCTATATTTACCTATTGTATTATAAAGATACACATCGCCAGAGAAGTTTAGTTGGTGTATTTAGCCTATCAAAAGGCAATTTAAGGGCTTAATTCTTTTGGCAAATAAAAAAATATTCTGGTATTGAACATTATTTTTTATGTTTTCATTTAAGCTATTTGTACATTGTTCCGTATAAAGCTGGATTATTTAATCATCAAGCAGATTACTATTTCTGACAACTGTCATAGACATTTTCCTATACAACAGTATAGGAAAATGTTATCTAAGAAATACATGTAACTTGCGCTGATTAGAAATTAGCCTTTCGTGAGAGGCTAATGAGCCAGGAGTCAGTAGGACCAGAATCCTGGAGTTAATCTCTGGGCAGCTCAGTTAAGCTCCTGATTTTACTCTACATTATCAAAGTACTTTTTCTAATGCGATCGTAAAGGTGGTAGGACAATTTTGATAAGTTTCATCTCAGATTTGATGCAATAAAATGTTTAAAGTTTAAATATTGTTACTCAATTGACATTTTGTTTGCCTAAAAATCAACTATTCTTTCTATACAAAAGTGTTGAGACTATATCCAATCTGTGTTTAGCATGTCCATAGTTCAAGGGTAAGTTTATGTCCTGATCATGTTTCATGTTACACCCATATTTAGGGTGTTACATGAAACACGGTCATATTGAAACCTCCCTCCTTTGCCCCCACTTGCCTGAATCCTGGAGTTCTCTATGCAGGCTGCTGCTCTTTTTTGAAAATGGTGCAGATGTGGGTGGCTCCACCCACATCACCCATTCACAGATCCTTTGACAGCTTTACAATGGTTTACATGTGCCATGATGTTACCTTAGTATGGACAGGAGCAGGAGGGAGAATTTGCAGGAGACAGAGCATTGCACCCACAATCCAGTGATCACGATTGCAATGCTTCAATGCAAAAAAATGCAAAAATATATATATATATTTTATAAAGATGTGTGTTTTATTTTATTTGTTTTACCTTTCACCACTTTACTTCCTTCTGCCTTCTACTTTAAGCAACATAGCTAGGTCACCTACCTGCTCCTAGTCTGTGATTGGATTATTGATTTAATTAATAAATACATTAATTGTTTTTGTAATATCTGCCTGGAGTTCAGCTTTAATATGTGTGTATAATATAAAAAAATAGTACTCTACATCATACCTAAGCTATTTGCATACTCTTACAAGCAAGAACTGGAGCCAGACAGAGACAAGGACAACTGATGTACAAATTAATAGACGTCACATCTCTTCATATACACTGCTTTATTTTTTTCCATATCTCTCTCTCATACAGCTAGTAACATATCCAGCATAACAACCTGCAAAATGATTGCTTGCAGCATTATATTCTATCCGTGTTATCATTAATGGGATTTTAATGATGACTTAATTCTGTGTGCAGAATTACTATGGAGCTGCCAGGACTATCCTTTCTGATAACCCGCTCGGCTTGACATGTGGAATGGTATGCCCAACGTCAGACCTTTGTGTAGGTGGATGCAATTTATATGCAACAGAGGAAGGTCCAATTAACATTGGCGGACTTCAGCAGTTTGCAACTGAGGTATGTGCAGATTACTTATTATCTTCTACAACTAAAAACCCATATATAATATTTGTGTGTTTTACTTATATATGTGTGTGTGTGTATATAGTATTTTTTGTAAGGTAGGTGCACAGCTATTACAAATGTTACTATATAGTATCTGTTAACCACTTTTTTTTTAAATAAATTCTTTATTTATAGTTTTTAAGAAATTTATAACATAAACAGTAAGAAAATAGCATTAGCACAAAGTGTACTCTAAAATCAGTCAAGTAAATCCACCACGCCATCCATGTATCCTAGGGTACGCATCTCTCAGTACACCCATAATCAGGCTCAAACATTAGCCTGCACGATTCATCTGTGACAATTCAGCTGTACACTTTCAGAGTTAGACGGGTACCATATGCATCTTAACGAGTAAGTGTGGTGGATAGAGGTGAAAGGGTAATGGTAGGGGGGGGGGAAGAAAAGAGAGAACCAAGAATAAAGACAGACGAAAAGTAGTATAGGAAGGGAAACAGACGTTTTCTCCCGCGTCTCTACCGGATCTTGATCACATCACCGCGGTTCCTGACACGCGCCTACGTATCTCCCATTCACTAGCGTTACTGCCCGCGGATGAGGTCCCATATGTCCACATCTCCACCCCAGATAGGCCATTCGCCTTCCATGACAGTCTTTACGTCTCCCCCAACAGGGTAACATATTCCTGGATAGTAGTGAAATCCACCCAGTAAAACCAGGTCCGATTAAACTGTGTCTCTTTGTGGCTCGCCGAGGCCAGGAGATCCTCCATTCTGTAGATCTCTCCAACCCTCGCCAGCCACAGCGAGATTGGTGGTGCCACCGTGCGCTTCCAGTAAAAGGGGATACATGCCTTCGCTGCACTGAGTAAGTGCACTAAGAGGGACCTCCTATAGCGGCGTAAGGGCATGGGTGCCAGGTGTAGGAGATATTCAGCCGGGTCGGACCCCAAAACAACCCCTGTCAATGTGTTGCATACCTCTGCCACCTTATCCCAGAAAACCCTCAGCAGAGGGCAGGACCAGAACACATGTAATATCGTACCTTCTTGCGCCTGGCAACGCCAGCAGAGTGGTGAGCACTGTGGGAACATTCTATGCAAGGTCGTCGGGACTCTGTACCATCTGGATAGAATTTTGAACCCCGTTTCCTGGACACTGCTGGATATGGAGGCCTTATGTGTCATCTGAAATATCCTATCAACTTGGGGCGGAGTAAAGATGATTCCCAAATCACGTTCCCACTTAGAGATATACACCGGGAGGGGTAGATCGGGCACGTCACTCAGTAGCTTGTAGGCCTCTGACAGGCCATGGCGGGTAGGTCCCTCTCGCAAACAGATTCCCTCGAAAGGGGTTAGGGGAGGCAGCTCCCGTGAGTTTCTAACCAATTGGGTGAGAAAATGGCACACCTGAAGTGCTTTCCAAAAGGTCATGGGAGGATCCGAGCATGCCTGAATATCTTTAATAGGCAATAGATCCGAACCGGCACGGAAATGGTAAAGCCTGAATCTGCCTGACTGTATTACTCGTTCAATCTCTCTGTCATAGGGTGAGACGGGCAAGGTCTGGTGTCCCAACACTGGGGTCATCAGGGAAGGATACCTATCTGTCCTACAGCCCGTCTTATCTGCTTTACAGACCGCCATCGTAGGACCAATAAGTGGATGCGTCCGAAGGTGGCTCGTGTGCTTCCTGTCTGTCCAGCGTAGGCCCCCCAGAGGGACTGTGGTACAGGATTGTTCCATTGGGATCCATCGTTTTTCCTCTCCCCCCTGGCACCAGTCCAGTATCCTAGCCATATGGACCACCTTGTGATACTTCAAGTGATCCGGGAACCCTATACCTCATTTGCGCTTGTGTCTAGACATGAGCAGTTGGCTAAGACGGTGGCCCTTCCGTGCCCAGAGGAACTTGCCAAATTCTACTCTCACCTTCCTCAGAAAGCCGGTTGGAATGTGTACCGCCAAAGTCTGAAGGAGGTAGAGCAGGCGCGGCAGGACATTCATTTTAAGAATGCTATTCCGGCCGAACCAGGTGACTAATTTTTCCGTCCAGCTTTGTAAGTCAATTTTTATCTGGGCAAGGAATGGCGGAAAGTTAGCCGAGAAAATCTCTCCGATGGAAGGTGTCAGGAAGATCCCCAGGTATTTAATTCTATGTGGAGCCCATCTGAATGGGAAGTAAGAGGAGAGGGAATCTATGACTGCCTGGGGCACGTTGAGGTTCAAGGCCTCCGACTTCTGCAAATTGACTTTGAAATTGGACAGGGAGTTATATTGTGCCAGTTCCGCAAGAAGGTTTGGTAGGGATGTAGCTGGACTTGTCACAAAGAAAAGCAAGTCATCCGCGTACCCAGCCACCTTGTGAACCGACCCTCCCACCTTGAGTCCAGGAAAATTAGGGTTGTTGCGAATACGGCAGAGGAGGGGCTCCAGGGTCAACACAAACAGGAGGGGGGACAGCGGGCACCCCTGGCGTGTGCCGTTGGATAGGGAAAAGTCAGCAGATGCCACCCCATTCAATCGTACATGAGCCGTTGGAAGGGAGTACAGTCTATCTATCCATGCGGAAAACTCGGCCCCCACCCCTATGTAGGACAGTGTCGTTTTTAGAAATGTCCAGTCTACCCTATCGAACGCCTTTTCGGCATCCGTTGATAGGAGAACGGTGGCGACGTCGAGTGACCTAGCTAAGTGAATGGCGTTCAGGGCGCGCGTTGTGTTTTCCTTAGTTTCCCTACCCGGTAGGCTTGGATTAGTCCTGTCATATGGGGCAGCAGTCTATTGGCCAGGATCTTTGTAAACAACTTTAGATCCACATTTAGCAAGGAGATCGGGCGGTAGTTAGCACATTGGGTGGGGTCCTTTCCCTCCTTGGGTATAACAGTAATTGCTGCCCGTAGCATGTCTACCGGGATCGCGAGGGGCGTCTAGAGCCGAGTTAAAGGCCCTGAGAAAGGGCTGCGTAAGAAGGGAGGCATAGTGTTTGTAATAGAAAAGCGTGAAACCGTCTGGTCCCGGTGCTTTATGGGGCTTCGTCTCTTTCAATGCTTTATGGAGCTCAACCTCCTCTAGAGGACCTGTCAGTGAGAGGCGAGCCTTCCGTGTGAGGCGGGGCAGTCCCGACTCTTCCAGATATGTGTGAATCGCTCTAGTCTTATCTGTTAGCGCCTGATCTACGGGTGCTGGGGACGAGTTATATAACAAGTGGTAGAATTCCCTAAACCGATCTGCAATTTCCCGGGATTCCCTCAGAACCTTTCCCGTGCCAGAGGATATCTGGGACACCACTGTGCGGGGTCGGCTGTCTCTAAGGGCTCGGGCCAGAAGGACTCCCGGCTTGTTCCCCCACTCATAGAAATGTTTGCGGAGCCATGCCCGTCGTGCTTTCACCTTGTCTAAAAAGAAGGCCGTCAAGCGTTCCCGAAGCGCCAAGAGCTCCGAGAGTGTTGCCTTAGCTAGGGTCTGTTTATGGCTCTGTTCCAGGGTCCGGATACGACTAGTCAAGTCAATGATGGTAGCCAATCTGGCTTTCTTGAGTCGGGAACCCTGATAAATCAGAAATCCCCTGACCACACATTTATGTGCCTCCCACACCGACAGGGGTCTAGCCTTGGTAGTTTGGTTATTCTCGAAATAAAAGCGGATTTCCCTTTCTAGAGCTACACTGACCTCCTCATCCTGCAAAATAGAGTCGTTAAGGCGCCACTGCCAGGTTCTGAGAGAGTCATCTCCAAGTCGGATCTCCATGGCCACCGGGGAATGGTCCGAAATCATGCATATCTCTATAGAGACGGCTGCCACCCTTTTCAAGTCAGATTGTCGCAGCAGGAAATAATCCAGGCGCGAGTACGACTGGTGTGGAGCGGAGAAGAACGTATAGTCCCTGGCGTGGCCATGGAGAACCCGCCACACGTCTACCAGTTGCTCAGTTTGCAGTAATTTCTTAAGTCTCCTGAGAAAGGCATAGGACAGGTGAGATGCGTTACGGGAAAAATCTAGGAGTGGTTCCAGAGCCACATTCAGATCGCCCCCTACGATGAGGGTACCTTCCACAAATGTGGACAGTTCTGAAAGGCATCGTTCCATGAACGCAATCTGATTGACTTTCGGGGCGTACACATTAGCTAATGTGACTCTGGTCCCCTCCAAGTCCCCCCTAACAAAGAGATAGCAACCCTCCGGGTCTTCCAGTGCCCCCCCAAAAACCCATGGTGCCGATCCAGCCACCACCGTGCTCACGCCCCTGGACCTGGAGTCAGGAGACGTTGCGTGGTACGCATGTGGGAATCTATAGTTGGTCAGTTTCTGGGTCCGACCCAGCTGAAAGTGGGTCTCCTGAAGGAATGCCACCCCCCCCCTCCACACTTCCCCCAATAATGGAAGAGAAAAAGAACACAACAATCAGAAAATACTACAGAAGTTATCAATGGAGAATCAAAACTCCGGGGTGCTGCCCCTCAGAGTCGCCCTATGTGGGGAAGTAGTCAAAAGCATGAAAACCGTGAGCGGCCCGAACTCGGGTACCCGATATCAAAACAAATCAGCATGAAATAAAATAAACAGTGAGTCCTGGGATCAAGCTAGTGGCAGGACTCATAAC